GGGAACTGAAAACTCAGAATCTTGAAACCTTAAACTAAATTTCTGTTGCCAACGTTGGTCTCAATGTGAAGGCAGTTAGTGACACAAGTATTTACAAAGGAAAAGTAAAGGAGAACAGCTTCTACCACTCTTCTTTCTCTATTTCAAATAGTTTTCTGAAGAGACAGGTTGTCATTATGGACTGCCAGCTCTATTTGAGACTGTAACTGGCATTTTGCTACAATCTGTGATCAGTGTCAGTTCTGTGTTCGGCTCTGATGCACCCTTCAACATCCACATGTCTCAGCGTTACCAAATAGAGTCCAAATATAACGGAGACATAAGAAACACATAGTTGGCACAATGCAGCCATATTTAGAGATGGGAACTGAACCCTGGAATTAAATTTGTCCGGCAGCTAAATTACAAAAGGTCCTTACATCAATAAGCTCTGACATTATGAGCTCTGCTATCAGTACTGGAAAATTAAGAAAAGCGATTTCCTTGTATTATTGCTACATAGAGATTATCTAGCACAGTTTTCTGTTACCAACTCTGTTTCTAATTCAACTATGATGTATTTCTGTATTCCCAATCCGGAAAAGAGATCTCTCTCAGAGCCTGTGTGGGACGGGCGGGGGCAGCACCAGACAACACACACAAATACAGACACACACACACACACACACAGACAGCCCAGTCCTACTGACAGTGGCAGAGGGAAGTAAATGTTATAAAATGTGGTTATAGCTCACTGAAGTCGATGCTGACAATGCCTGTTGTCACAAGTCTTGTCTACGTAAGAGCAGAAAATCAATCACTCTGTCAATAACACATCCAGCGAAAGTTCATCACACACAGGCAGAGAAATACAACGCTTTTCTCATTGCTCTAGGTATATTATGTACGTATGTATGTATGTATGCCGAGCAGCCCACACATAGACCTAACAAAATTGTTTGAACATGGATTAATAATTAAAAGTAACCACTGTTGATTTATGGGTGTGTTTATAAATTTAATCTGAAATGGTCAGAGCACCATTCATTTATCGTTCAAAAATTCAGTTTTGTTTTAGAAGCACTCAGAGCAGAGGCAGATTTACTGATTTGAGGACTGCAAGCAAACTCTGCCTTGCTTTATTTTCACCCTTTCCCCAACTGAATGTTGGGGTTGGCGAAGGTCCATTGTGCACCTTTACAAATGTCAACCAACTGCAGTAACTTAATTCATTACTTATTAATTAACCTCCACATAGAGTGAGAATCGGTCATGATGTAAAGGCGTGTCGCACTTTGTACATGTAGCACAACAGACAGGTGAGCCGTGACAGATTCACAATTTTAAAACTGCACTTAAATCATTTACTGCATAGCAGATTTCCATGTAGCGTTTTGTTCATTAGCGCACTATACATCAGCCAAATACTGTGAACTTCATTCTTTAACAGGTTTTGGATGATGCTCTCTTTTAGACAATGCTGACAATAACCACAAACAGGATAACTCTGACCTACTTCACGAGTTACAAAACAAGCAAACAAATGTAAAATCTGTCCATGCACACACCCTAGCGCTGGGGACACAGCACCCAGCACGAATCAGTCAATGTTCATTTTGGGCCGATATCAATATTTCATTTAAGCCCTTATTGGTCCATACCGATGACGTGCCAATATCATCATGCATTCCTTGTTTCCAATGCTAGGTATAGTGCACATTACTGCAAAACATAATAATAACCCCACTGTGTGTGTGCTAACCACATGCAAGTCATTGTCACCAATGTCTCTGTGACCCAGTTCCTTCAAAGCAAAGCATTTTTTAAAAAAAGCAGCAGTATAGCTCAGCAGCAATGTCAATGTCTGCACAACAATTGTACCTGTGAAAAGGATATTTTTAATAGCTCTGGAGACAAGCTAAGGGCAAATACTACAACATGCTTGTGCAAAAGGAAACTACAGCAACATTCCAACAATATTTCTACATTAATTATTATCAGAAATTAAAGACCACATCCAACTACTACTACAACCTACCGACAAGTATTGCCTTGGCATCCAAACTATTACAATGGATGCAGTTTAATCCAACCATGCTGCAATAAATACTTTTTATATAACAGTTGTAATGTTAAACTGTTCATATTCGTGTTTTGTGAACTGTATGATCTTTTGGAGGATGCAGTCTGTGGGGCTGTTGAACTGCACTGTATTATACTGAAAGATCTTTCTATTTTTTTTTTTTGTCCACACTACTTAACTCACTGAGGTAGGCTAAATATCACAAGAGAAACACAGTGGATTAGAAAAAGGACACCAGTTGCGATGATATTGTATATTATATGATGTTACAAACTGCTAATATAAGAGCATATACATTTATATATATAATCAAGGAAAACATGTTTTCTTTTACCAACATAAAAGCTGCACTGTAACATTTTAAAGGTAGATTGTTAGTTCACGATTTCAGTTTTGCACTTGTTATGAATGAAGGGTTATGAGTGCCGCAAGAGTTGAAAGAAAAAGCACTCACTTGTCCAATCATCTTCAAAGCAGTAGAGAAAATGGAAGACCACCATGACCAGAGCATGGAGAGAGATGAGTGCAATGTACATCTAGGTTTAAAAAAAAAATAGACAGCACAATGAGGAACAAGTGACTACGTACATACACTGTAAACAGACTGGTATTCACTGAAAAAGTATGCTATACTAAAACTGCAAAAAAAACCTACTGATTTGTCATGTGTTGTCATTATAGACACTCAGTCTTACAGCGAACTTACTGTGAAAAGCACAAAGTACTTTTGGTTGTTCTCCCCAACACAGTTGTTGACCCAGGGACAGTGGTGGTCCATCTTTCGTATGCAGCGCTTGCAAACGCTGAAAGAGAATTTAAATGCGAGTGAAAAACAAATTAAAATGAAAAAGATTTAAATACAACGATAACTGTATCAGTCCTACGAGGAGACGTTGTTAATTTTGTCAAGGATGAAAAACATTCATTGACAACCTTTTTTTCCACAACATGTATATCACTTTTTGTCAACATATAAAATTAAAAGATGACATGAAAGACAGATGAATACACAAATGAACTGGTTACAAGGATTTAGGTTGTCCTCTAAAGGTAAACCCAGTCAAAAAACTGCATTTTAGAGAAAAAGAGGGTGAATGCTCTGCAGTAGAGAACAGTAAGCCTGTGATAATGCTAATGCTAAGTGAGCAGAAACTAGAGAGAGTAAGAATCTGTTTAAAAGAGCAAGAGTCTGGAAATGATAACTGGATTTGCGATGGACTGTCACTCTGTTGTTGTACTGCAGAGAAAAGTAACATGATAGTAAACACAATCTTTCCCACTAACAGAACAATGCTTGTAACCACAGCAACAATACAAAATAATGATTACAACAGCTGCAAAATTTTTATGGCAAAAAATGTTTAAATGTGACAAATTTAAGATTGAAATGTCCCTGTTAAAAACTATACTGAAACTAGCAAAAATCAAATGACTTAAAGTAATACACTTCTTCATAAAAAAAAGACAAAAAAAATAAAAACAAATTAAAATCTGGCACCTAAATGAACACTGTAAGGAGACAACAGCAATACAGGATACACAGACAACGTTAGTTGAAAGTAGAAAGTGAAGGGCACTGCATCCTGGCTGCAGCTGTTTCTATTTCACAAATTACCCAAAGTCACATATTTATAACAATCTGAGTTGAAGCCCACAGCATGGCACTGGGTTTGTAAAAGCCAAATGCTGCAGTGAGAATTCAATGTCCTTTTTGCCCTACCTGCAGTGGTGTGCTCGGTCAGGCTTGATGCTGCAGCACTTGGGACATTTGTAGACCACCTGCCCTGGTTTCAGCTGAAGGCTTTCGATGTATTCCTTAGTAGCGTTCCCTTTTGGCACCGCCCCCTAGCAAAAAACAGGTGCATAAAGTTGAAGACTTCAGCGTAATGTGCAGCTCATTGATCTCCATAATGGAATAAAAGCGGAGAGGCTAAATGTACCATAATTTTATGGAAGTTCAGCTGCACTAATGGGGATAATATAAAGCTAAAGACCATAAACCTGTCTGCATGGCATTGAGAATTAAAGCAATTTCTGTGTATGTATAACCCCAACCAAGCCCCACTTACAGGGTCAGTGCACATGGCCCTGAGATGTGAGGCGAGGGCAAGAAAGGCCAGAGTGTTGAACAGAGTCCCGTTCACAATGCTGTACGTCAGATTCTTAGAGGGTAGCAGCATTACAAAGAGTACCACAAACTCGGCGTAAAACACCAGCAGCCAGGTGATGACGGCACACACAATCCCGCAGGCGTCCCTGATGAACCACATGGCCGAGGCGGAAGAGGACGTGATGACATCTTTGGAGATAGGGATGCGCTGCTCGGCCTGCAGGCAGTTGGTTCCTGCCCCGGTCCCGGTCTGCCCACGCCCGTGCTCCACATCCCTGCATCTGTGCACCGGGCTCTTCATCCTTCATCTAAGCTGGATGTCTCCTGCTGCCACCGGACCAACTGCGCCTTCAGGCCTTAGTCTCAGTCACCGCATGCTGGAGGGAGAGGAGGGTCACAGATCAGACACAAGTCAAAGGTTGGATTCTCTTGGAAATCCCTGATCGTAAAAGCACTTTACTGATTGTTGACTATATTATACACATGTCTCGTGCCTGTTTTAGTACTGTCAATTTTAAGAACACCCCAATGTCACAATCACAATGTTGCATAAAAGGGCTTTACACACCTCCGTATTCTCCTGCTGTCCCTACATTCTTGATTAGGATAAGATCTGTTATATAATTTGTGTGGGACTAACTGATTTGAAAATAAAATGAATAATAAAATTAATCAATATTGTAAATATTTAGTCATTATCATCCCTAGTTCTATTACTGGTGAATACACACTAGAATATGTTTTTTGTTTTGTTTTTTTGGACTGATTTAAAAATAAAATCAGTTTGTTAGTTTTGAAATACTGCTGTCGTAGCCTTAGATAACTCCTTTTACATTTGAAATCATAGAACAATTGTTATACAACAAGCTTAACTTGAAATAATGAACTCAACAATAAGCTATTCACTGTGCAAACTACACCTGAAAAGAAGTATATGACATAGCAGATTTCTGAATGATGACAAACCTTTAAATACAGGAAATGCTGACAGAAACTGAACTTTCCTGTTCTACAGTACTATATCTCTGTCAAAGAAACAAAATCTTGCCACATTAAACACAGGCTGTAGGCATGCATCAATACTGACAGCAGTAGCAGGTATTAGTGCATGCTCATGTACTTGTAACTACTTCAATACAATCGCATCTGTGTCCACATTACAACAGTGTAAAGTTAAACTATCAATAGCTGGGCAGACAAGTTTAGGAGGAGCAATCTCAACAGTTTTGCAATATTGTGGGATGATGACAAAAGTAACGCAAACTGCAACCTATGGTCTGCTAAATTGTCAAGACAAGGAGTAAAAAATAGCTCCATTAAGACAAGCAACTTGATTAAACATCTCAAGACCATCACAGCTCTGAGGTCAAGGAGTTTGCTAATGTCAGCAGCGGGACTGAGCAACTACTATCTTTACAGTAAACATTGGACAAGCCAGAAAAAAATGTCCTGGAACAACCCTCAGTCAACAAAAATAACAGAAGCTCTTACCCACTATATTGAACAATGGTCCATCATTATCAGTTGTACATAATAGTAGTGGTATTAGTGAGTTAGTTGTCGTGGAGCCCAAGTATGAGATTGCCAGCTGTCACCAAATCACAAAAACTGTCCTAGCGAAGCTGCATGAAGAACTTCATAAAAAAACACATCAACAGCCCGGTGCAGAACATTTCGGCCTTCAGCTTTACTGCTGATGTTGCAGCGGCCCAGTGTGTCTCACCCATTAAACTGGAGTCTGGACTGATAAGAATTTTACTCTACAGAGAGCCATTCAACATGCAAAGCAGCAAGGTATCGCAGGTGCTTTTAATGGTACAGCATTTCATTGTCAGAACTGTACTGGCATTATTAAGTACTCATATTGTCACTCAGTAATGGCAAGTACCCAAAAGTAAGTACTTTCACTTGCTCTGACAGAAAGTCGTATAACCCTATACAAAACACAGAAACATGAGTCTCAAGCATTCCTGAAGCTTTCATATTCACTGTCTCAGTTAAAAATTCTGCAATGGGTGTATTTTCCAAGTGAACACATTTGATGTCACACAAGCATTTGTGTGGGAAGATCAATCAAGACTCCACTGCACTGTGGATGTAATACCCAGACATCTCGTAACAAGAAGCCAGAGGTGGAAGTTCGTCAGTCGTGTTAGTGTGTCAAAGCTTTGTCACTGCAGAGGTCAAACACAGCAGTGAGCAGTAAGAGTGCTGCGTGCCTCTGCAGTCTGACTCAGTGTTACACTACCGGCAGCTGTATGAGGCATCCCGGAGGAGCGGATGGAGAGGTCACTGAGAGGTGGGAAACTGTGACCTGGTGACCGTGCTCAGCATAACCTAGTGCGCTAATACCCCTTTGTAACCCTAAAAGCCCATATGGGCGTTATAATATTATATATATATGGCATATATGACCTGACTCAAAGATAATCTCACTAGTGTCCGAATAAAACGCAGGCAGTCAGTGTCTTTCACGTAATAAAGTGGGTCAATGATTCCCAGCCAATCGTGTTTCAATGGGTGAAGGAATTTCTATTTCGCTGCCAGGTAAACAAGCTAATAGCGTTATTTTTTTTTAGAAACATACGGTCAAACTGTAGTGCCTAGTCGTGTTAAATTCATAAAACCTGCCAAAGACTGCTGCAATTCTAGCTTTACCTACAGTTTATATGCCAAACTGATAGTGAAACCTGGCTGGAACACTAGCCGACGCACATTAACGTCAGTCCATCCAAGCTAACGCTAGCTGCCCAGCTAACGTGTCACAGTAAGCATTTATACTGACCTGCATGCACATTTCTGTCAGTGCCCTTCCCTTCAGCTGTAAAGCGGTGGACGCCCGGGAACGTCTGACTGCCTTCACCTCATTATTTATCATTATATTCCGCAGAATCTCACCTGAAACATCAGCATCCTCCAGCTCTCCATTCGCTCCTGCTGCTGCCTGGTAGCTCCCCCTCGACGCCGTGCTCCCGCAACAACAAGACGTGATGACATCAGGACGAGAGCCAATGGGATCCTCAGGAAGGTTTCATGCCTTTCCGCGTCAGAGAATGCGTCCAGACACACCTACTTAAGTATCGATCTATCTATCCATCTATCTATCTATGTTAACTTGAATGGAATTTGACTTTACCATTTTGGAGATAAACTTCAGAATTCAAACCGAAATGAGGAAGGAAAAATGATTTTTAAATGAATGGATTCCAGTCCTTGAAGAATCCAAATAGAGCCACAAATGGTCAGACATGGTATTAAGATACCATCCCAAAGTTTATGTGGCGTTCATACAGGACCCAACACATGACTTGAACTGCATGAGGAAGTAATAAACAGTTTTTGGTTTCTGAAGTTGTTTTTGTCCCTCATACTGTCAGTAAAGAGGAGGCAAGGTGCCTCGGTGGTTAGCACTGTCGCCTTGCAGCTGGATCTGTCCTAGTTCGGACACTGGGAATCTTTCTGTGTGGAGTTTGCATGTTCTCCCCGTGCAGCGTGGGTTCTCTCCGGGTTCTCTGGCTTCCTCCCACAAGGTCCAAAAACATGTTGAGGTTAACTGATAATTTTTAATTGTCCGTAGGTGTGAACGCGAGTGTGCTTGGTTGTCTGTCTCTAAGTGTAGCCCTGTGATAGACTGACAACCTGTCCAGGGTGTCCCCTGCCTTCACTCTGAGTCGGCTGGGATAGACTCCAGCCCCCCGCGACCCTAGTGAGGATTAAGAAGTGTATAGATAATGGATGAACATTAACATTATGTTCTTTTTGCTCAGCAGTGGTTTTGGTCTTGGAACTCTGCCATGCAGGCCATTTTTGCCCAGTCTCTTTATGGTGGAGTCATGAACACTGACCTTAATTGAGGCAAGTGAGGCCTGCAGTTCTTTGGATGTTGTTCTGGTGTCTTTTGTGACCTCTTGGATGAGTTGTCGCTGTGTTCTTCGGGTAATTTTGGTCGGCTGGCCACTCCTGGGAAGGTTCACCACTGTTCCAAGCTTTCGCCATTTGTGGATAATGGCTCTCACTGTGGTTCGCTGGAGTCCCAAAGCTTTAGAAATGGCTTTGTGACCTTTTCCAGACTGATCGATCTCAGTTACTTTGTTTCTCATGTTTTTCCTGAATTTCCTTGGATCGCAGCATGATGTCTAGCTTTTGAGGGTCTTTTGGTCTACTTAACTTTGTCAGGCAGGTCCTATTTAAGTGATTTCTTGATTGAGAACAGGTGTGGCAGTAATCCAGCCTTGAGAAATTGAGCTCAGCTTTCCAAAGATGTGATAAACCACAGTTTATTTATGTCTTAACAGGGGGGTGATCACTTTTTCACACAGGCCCATGTGGGTTTGGATTTTTTTTCCCCCCTTAAAAATGAAAATCTTCATTTAAAAACTGCATTTTGTGTTTACTTGTGTTATCTTTGTCTCACATTTAAATTTGCTTGATGATCTGAAACATTTAAGTGTGACAAACGTGCAAAAAAATAAGAAATTAGGAAGAGTGCAAACATTTTTTCACACAGCTGTATGTGTGTATAATCATTAAGAATATTGTTGTTAAAAAGGGGGTAGGAAACATAAGATTTTCTTCATCCTGCTCCTTTTCGAGCATGGACATGTAAATTTTTGTTTTTGTTCATCTCACAAATATTGAATGTTAATGGAATGCATATCCATGAACGAAATAAATCAATCTTAATCTAATCTAATCTAAAAAAGACTATCTCTGCACAAACTAGGTCGTAAAAATGGAAAATAAATTATTTTTAAGATCTTTTCTCACATATTTTTGTTGTGTTGTTTGGATTGTTGATTAATTAATTTATTTATGTTGTTCCAAAGTTATGACTTAACTTTGGAACAGCTGATTTTCGGGTGTATCGCTGGAAACACTCCAAGATGCTTGAAAATCAGCTATTCCAAAGTGAAGTCAAAGGGAACGAGTCGTCTGAATGTTTTCCTCGCTCTCATGGGGCCTTGCCTGTAGGTCATTATTATGTCGGGTTAATGTTGGCTCATGCTCGGCCATCATTCTAATGCCAGCATCTTCCCGACATCTTGCCGATTAGCTACCGCTCTCCATAAGACATTTCAGCGAGGTATTTATGTCGGGCAGGCACACGCTGCGCCAGCGTCGGCAAGACCTAATTTGTTGTCAGGGTAGACTGTATAAAAGATGGACGGACCCAGAAGTGTCAAAAACCTGCAATATCACTACGTCCACTAGCGGCTGGCTCCAAAAAGCCCTGGCTCCCATAGACTTGAATTGGAAAAGAAGTGATCACAGATCACGAAATACCGCATTCCTACAGCTCAGGATTTTTTTCTTATTAGTTTTCACGGTCAAGTCCAGAGATCAGGTGGCCAATCTGAACATAAATCAATACTGAATTTTTAAAAAATCGTCAACATTTTGCGGGGCAAGGGGCGTGACTGGCTTGATTGACAGTCGGCAGCGACCATACAGACCAAGCAAGCAGAAGTCTGTAAATGTGGGCGGGCAGAGAGGACCTGCCTCTCAATCCGTCTGACAAATCACTGGCTCCAAAAATCCAAGATGTCAACCAGGAAGTAACCCTGGCTTCATTTTCTTAGTGCAGAACCCAACGGGTGACGTCACGGTAGGTACGTCCATCTTTTATACAGTCTATGGTGTATAGATCATGGATGGGTGTCAGTAAAGAGGCCTTTTTTCTACATCAATTCTCAAGTAAGAGATGGGTAAGTAAATCATTAGCCGTTGCGTGTAAAACAAAAATGCATTTAAAGTTTGAACAAAGCCTCTTGCAGTGGCTCTATTGGTTTGAGTCACCCAAAAAAAGTGAAAATGTTCTAGAAATCAAAGAAAATATCTAAAATGTAATGTTTTTTCCTAAATTTGAAATCTGGTTTTCATCTAAAATGTTTTTATTTTTCGATTCAGACACTTTTCTATTATTGGCACTCTTATTGATTAGTATCTAACTTACAGGCTTTCTTTTCATTCAGGTTTTCTCAGGTTAGACAAACTCCAGTGCTCAAAAATGAAGCCAACACTGAAGTGCCAAAACGTGTCGTACCTCCAATGGTCTCTTGAGGCTGGCTCTGTCAGCGACTCATCATTATACTTACATCAAGGTTACCGCACAAACAAACATGTTTACTTGTTCGTACAAATAACTGTTCATGACAAGGTTACAGTTTATGGAAAATACAGTTTACATAACTCACCCTTTTAAATGCTATTAGGACTAAAAGTTCTACATAATTAAGGGTATCACTGGTTTGAGTGACAGGTGGGGGCCTTCATAGAATAGTCCATGGCCCACAGACATCTGCATGGCCTTCAGGTACATGCTGCAGCTGTCCCTACAAAGTGTGTACTGCTGCATGCAGTATGCATACAATTGGAATATATTAATTTGTCATAATATTGAGCCTCAAACTTGGAACATTGCAGTCTGTAGTGCAAAATGAGCTATTCTCTATTGCACTGTTGGTAGCTCAAGCTTGTTTATACAGTTTGTTTATATAGAATACTGCATTTGACATACAAAACCTTTTTCTGGCATAAAAAATCAATATATGATTGTCATTATAAATACCCTCTAAAAAAAAAAGATAATATCACAAAACTAATAATTATAATATACTTGTGTACATTTTAAATTATGAAAATCCTTTAATCATAAAACAGTATGACATACTTATGTTTACCAGTAACTTAAATTATACATGTATTTACTGTATATACAATAAAAAGTTTTTTTTTCTCTTTATTTTTATTATCTTCTTCACCACCGACTTCCTCTCATTACATGCCAAGCAGTCTTTTTTTTTTTTTTTTAACTTAAAACCACAACCACAATGATGATATCACACACCTCAATCTAAGGGCAGTGGTGAAGCAGGATTTTAGGATTTTAAAAAATCCTGGTTGCATTAAGTCCAGTGACAAAAAAGGCAATGCAATTTGTAAACCTCTATATAATATTTTAAAAAATAAGCATAAAAGGGGAGCTGTATTACAGTTTTTCTCAGTCACTTTGGTACATTTCTCGAATCATTTGCAAAACAGTAAGTGCATTTCTCAAAACAATTTGTACAAACAGCCAAACACCTGGATTACCTGCAAAAGGCAGATACTTGCTCAAAATCCTTAGTTCATCTCTCAAAAGCAAATATCTGTGTGAATGAACATGTCAGTACCATCAGAATGGCAAGTCCTTGTGTCAGTGTGTACGGATAAAAGAGTCAAATTGTTTAGTCATGTTGTCAATAGTGTACTCTGGAGGGATGTTCTGATGTAAACGATGGCGAAAGTTTTGATGACAATTTTTGGAAATTGTGAGCTACACCTTAGTAGGGGTGTCAAGTCCTGGTCCTTGAGGGCCACAATCCTGCATGTTTTAGATGTTTCCCTCTTCCAACACACCTGATTCAAATGATCAGCTCATCATCAAGCTCTGCAGAAGCCTGATAACGATCCTGATCATTTGAATCAGGTGTGTTGGAAGAGGGAAACATCTAAAACATGCAGGACTGTGGCCCTCGAGGACCAGGATTCGACACCCGTGTCTTAGTGTATGTGGGAGATTGATTGCAAGAGACTGGGCAAGATTCACCTTTACGTATTACCGTTTGTACTGTAATTTGTTGACAGACCATGTCATTGCGGTACAGAAAGTGTCTTATTCAGCCTCTGCAGGCATCTGCTGTGATGTCATCACATGCTACATCCATGGCAACCAGAAGGGTCATCTGTGCATGTGGTCGATCATGTACTTTCCATTTCCATGCTGAGAAAAATTTTTCAATGGGGTTAACGAATGGGGAGTAGGGCGAGAGGAACTCCATCAGCATCCTTTTGTGGGTTGCAAACCATTGCCTGATGATGTTGGAGCAATGGAAACTGACATTCATCTCCAATCTGACCCCTCTCTTGTTCAGGGATGAGATCCCTGTAGAGAGTGTCTAAAAAGGTGACAAGAAGCTCTGGATTGTATGAC